CATTTCATGGTACTATTAGAATGATCTTAGCTAATGTATTAAATTAAATTCCCAAAGTAAAATTACTTTTATGAATGTCATCTAATAATCCAGAGGAACAAAATCAAACCCAGAAAATTGTTTTTCAAAATATATTTTTAAAACTTAGTATATACAAGAAAGACATGAACCTTGAGGGCCAGGGGAGAAATCTTATGTTTTAGATATGGTTTGGAACCAAAGGTTCATGTTTTAGAATGTGGTCCCTAATATTATATAATGGTGCTGGAAGGTGGTTAGGTCTTTAAGAGAAAGACTCACATTGAGTGTGGATAAGTATCATTTATTTGGCTAGGAGACGTAGAAGGACACACAGAGGAGGTAGAAAAGCCAGCTTCCTCTCTCTCTGTATGTAGCTGATGACCTGCCTGCCTCTTAGCCACGTGACTTAAAGCTGCTCAGATGCCAGGCTCTTGTTCTAAGACTTTCTAGTTACCAGAATCATAAGCCAAATTATCACTCAGTTTCAAGTGATTTAGTAACAGTGGACTAATACAGCAATTTAAAACAAAAAAGAAAATCTTCTCAGACCAGATGGAATATTAGACAAGATTCATGAAATATGACTCATAAGTAGACATAGCATGGTGGAGTAACTCAACATGAAGAATAAATAAATCTCACAAAGGAAGATTTTATAAAAATCTATACAGGAAGAATTAATAGAAAGTTTCCTATGAAAGAAAGATCACTGGATTGTTATCATTCACATATAAACTTTGTTTTTGGTAATAAAAAATGTATCCCTTCACCAAATATTTATGAAATTCCTAGTATGTGCTATCTAGATCCTGATATTGTAATGAACATGCTGTATAAAGTGTCTGCAACAGAACTTACTATATTCTAGTGGGAATAGATGAAAGTTCATGAGCAGAATGGAGAAAGCCTCCTAAGACAGATAATTTCTATCCAGGTGGGAAAAGGTCGTCTCATACTTAAGAGATGATACACTCATGTCATTTTCTTTGTGATGTTCATTATATCAGTTAGAATCAGGTTCCACTATAATAACATAATAGCAGAAGATCATGTTTCTTTCATATATTCAGCCACAGCTAGTCAGTCCATGGACATACGCAGCTCAGCTCCAGGAAGTCTTCAATGATCCGGTTTCTTCTATTCCTAAAAATGTATCCTATACCTACCTTGCCATGCCACACATACACAGATATACACTTCCCACACATCATTTAGAGAATCCTAGAATTTTCACAGGTATTCCAGGTTATTCTAACACAGGTACTGTATGACACGCTCAAAAATACTAATGTAGAAAAATGAAGAAAAGAATGACAAAGCAACTCCCAAAATTAGCAATGAGAGAAATAAAATTATTCCCAAGATATAAATTATACAATCAATAAATAATTGCTAAAAGCAGAGATAAGCAAAATTACTTAAAAAAAAAAAAAAGACTACCCACATTTAACAAAATCCTGATAATTTAGATATTTCCTTATCTAAAGAAAGTTAATGTGAAAGTGAGTGATACATAGTAAATCCACACAGGGAAAACACCTAAAAACAATTCAGGATCTTTCCCAAGATGTGACAGCTACATCTTGCTGCATGCCTTTTTTTAGAATTCCACTTTCTTATGAAAAGTTTAGATTTATATTTATTATTAACCTTCAAAATGTTTCCAAAGGTACTTTGTAATTTTTCATTGATTTTGTTCCTAATAAGGTATATTGAGTCAACAGAAAAGTCATGACATATTTTTCTGTGTTTTTCTAGGCAAAAATGCATCTTGACTTTTCTAACGACCTACTATTTTAAAAACATAGATAATTTTAAACTGTGGTTATTCATATCAACAAACTTTGTGAGCTGACTCTCAACATTAGACAAGTGAGCAAAAACGCAAAATTAATTATGGCTTCCACATTTTCATCTCCATTTCATTCTGAAGGGAAATGGGCTACAAAAAGAAAACAAAACTCTACGACAGTGTGTCAGAAAGCCAGAAGAAAAAAAATGGTTAACATTAACTTACAACATCAATCTTCTACTACTTTTCCTTGGCATAAATGCAAAATGGAGTTGACTATTCTGTAAAACAAGTACTGTTTGAAAATTTCTACCCAGTAGTCCTGCTTAGACAATAGTTGTATCTACACTTAAGTCATCCAAGTTGAATAATTAAGGAAAACTCTGCCCTTCCTAGAACATGGAACATTTTCCCTTATCTCTCTTTTTTTTTTTTAACAAGTCTTATCCTGTCAAATAACTATTTACTTTCCAAATGAGTTCTTCCACAGCTTTGAGTCACTCAAGCCACCTCCAAGTCAACAGTACTAAGGGATTCCTAGCATCATAATGGTTTCAGATTAGTGACAGAGCACTTATTGAAAGCTAGGGGGATCTGAGACTTTTGACAAGTCTCTTCAAGGCTTGGAATTTAGTGCTTGTCATTTGAAAATGACATGTAATTGCAGGTTTCTTTTCTAAGATCCCAGTGACATTCTGAGTATAATCATGATGTAAACTGCTGGGATTCTTATAAAGAAACAGAGGTGGATTTTCTTAAAGGAAACAATTTGGCCAGTTTTGTGCCTTTCGCAAGCTGCACACTATATGTACTTATAAAATCTACTCATACTCCAATTTACTACTTAATTAAAAGGGGGTTGGACCATCATTTTTGTACTGGAAAGAACAACCAAAAAACTAAGAACACTGCCAACGCACATCTAGGAAGCTTACACACACACACACACACACACACACACACACACACAGGGGTAAGATCAAGAGAAAACTGCGCCCACGGGACACTTCGCTTTAAATGTTAACAATGCTGAAGATCCTGTAGGGCCAGTCAAAAAAGCCGTTTTTCTTTTTCAGTTTTCCGATTCCCTTCAGCCAGACTGGACTCCAAATAACCCTGTTTGGAATTAAACCACCTCACCCCTTCTGAGGATGGAAACTGAGCCCCGCCTGTCCGTCGACCTCAGGAGGAAGCAGCAGCGCCAGGGAAGGTGGCTGAGGCCCCAGCCTGCCCCCAGCCCCCAGCGCCCAGCGCTCGCCAAGCGCCCATCACCCAGGCCAGCGCCACAGCCGGGCCTCCAGCGCCGACGCCGGTCGAGCCGGGGCAGCGCGCGGCTCACATGACGCAGCGCACGGCCAATCAGCGCGGCCGTCTGGGTATTCAAATCCGCGGCGGGGCGGACGGTTGTGGCAGGGCAGCTGGCTCG